GATGAACAATGGGAGGACAGTGCTACAGTGCAGAAATTGTCTGATATCTTCCCAGTGAGCAGTAGATTCTTCTCCTTCCTCAAAGTCTGGGTTGGTCTCTGCAACTGCTTTCCTCATAAAAAGCAGTTAAAAGTAGTGTTCTGGGACTTCCAGGTCTGGGTCCTGTAAAATCTTAAAACTTTCTGTCTAGGCCTTTTGTATGTCTTGTACTTGAAACTCTAAGCCACCATGTAGAGTCCAACCATATGAGAAGGCACTGTAATAATATGGAAATTCAGAGGGCCCCAGCTAAGGCCAGCCATTTAGTTGTGCCTTCAAAGGGACCGAATAGTGAGTAACACTGTCTTGGGCTCTTCTCTCCTGGTGATATATTATTGAAATAAAACCAAGAGATTTCTATTGATACCACCCGGAACAGACAAATGCTCATGCTATTTCCTGTTCAACTTTCTACCCTGTGAAATAATGAACAATAATAGTTGGTGCTGATTTCAAGCCACTAAGTCTTGGATGTCTTGTCACATATCAATAGATGACAAAGATGAAAACATTGCCAGATCTTGTGACTCAGGCTCAGAGGCTGACATCAACTACTAATTAAGGCTTTTAGTAAAGGTTCTGATCACTGGAGTCTGAAGACAAAACACCTGAATGGCACAGATGAGACAAAGGGAGATGTCTTTACATAGCCATCTGTCATCGATAATGTCTTCAAATGAAGCTGAAAACTTCCTGTTGTGAACACTGGTTACAGTCATGCAGTATCAATGCATTACTTAGCTACATGAATGTCAGAAACAAATCTGCCCTTTACAGAAGAGTTTTCTACCTCTTAAATCTGCAGACGGATTGGTCACTGGACCTGCAGTTGAAAACCACTTTAGAGCAATAGGGGTGCTCCTGCTATGTTTATGCCGTCAACGTGGTGACGTAATCAGCATGCTCCATATTGGTAAAAGGTGACAGTTTGGCACAGGGATGTGTGAATTCAAGTGATTAGATGCAAACTAAAAGAGTGATGACTATTTCTGAGAGCTGTAGGTTAATTTTGGGGGCTGTTCTTGGAATGGAAAATGATTGTGAATTTGGGGGAAAAATACCAGAGCAATCTGTTTTCTTGGCTGCAGAGCAATTTCAAAGCACTGGAGTACTTTCCATATTTTCTAATCACTCAAGTCCAGAACTGATGATGGCATTCTCATTCCCTCAGATTCACATGCTGGAACACTCCAGATCCTTTAGAGGTTTCACCTTGAAAGTATGCACCTGTATTCAAAGGAGCATGGTGCTACAGCAGGAACAATCACTTTAATTGCAGCACAATCCTACAAGGGCTAAGTGTTTTGGAAAATCACTGATGGCCCAGCTCCGAGACAACCCAGATTCACTTTCTCTTGTCTGACCTCTTCTCCTGGATAGAAAAAAAAAAAACCAAGTCCTGCTAGAAATGGAACTCCCCAAAACAAAACTGAACCACAAACAAAGAGAAATAAATTAGGGCTGCTGAAATCTGTGGACACATCTGCATATACAAAGACATACCCACAGTTATACATGCACAGAAAATGTCTGGAAGGAACCCCAAGAAATGTGTTATTGTGATTTCCGCTGAGGAGAATAGGGTCACTGGAGAAAACTAGGAGGTTGGTGGAGGGGAAAGACAATTTTTTAAAAACCATACATTAGAATTTAAGAAAATCACAAGTTGCATTATTTTTCAAAATAATGATACAGAATAGTTTCAAACCTGCATATGGTACTTAAGATATGCTACATGGTATCTTTTTTTTTGCTTTTTATTTATTTATTTATTTTGGGGGTCACACCGGGCGATGCTCAGGAGTTACTCCTGGCTCTGCACTCAGGAGTCACTCCTAGCGGTGCTCGGGGGATCATATTGGATGCTGGGATCGAACCCGGGTTGGGCGCATGCATGGCAAATGCCATAACCACTGTACTATTGCTCCAGCCCTGCTACATATTATCTTAAACTCTTCTGTATACCCACGATTTTAATAGTAATGTTCTTCAAACATGCATACATATATTACATATAGTCTATGCTAAATATTTATACTATCAAATTTTACAGATGAGGAAAGTGAGGTACAGAAAGGAAAACTAGCTTATCTAAGATAGTTTATCTAAGCTTACATGGTAATAAAGGCTGGTATCTGGCACCAGAAAAGGTGGATTTGGAGTCTGTCATCTTAATTAGTATATTCTACTACCTTGCAAAAAAAATAAATTCATTTTCCTGCCTATGATCCAGTTGGAGCAGGTTTTAAAAAATGGAAACTCTTTTTCCTCACATGGTCCTCCTGGGTGATGGGGTACAAGAGATGGTGATTCAAAAAAAAAATCAAGATACAATCTTAAAATGGTGACGCTTTAGAAGGCTTTGAAATTGAGTAAATGTCAGATCAAAATGAGACTCTAGCCAAGTTGCTTCCACTTTTTGAGCTTTTGCAAGTATTGTGTGCCTGGTACTCTGCGTGTTCTTGGACTCAAGTAGTCAACAGAAAAACTCCCTACTCTCTAGAAATGTACTGCAGAAAGAGAGCTAGGGAAAAAAAACAAATTGTAATGTGAGTTTAAAGAAAAATAACAAATTATACTGAGTGATGAGGATTTGGGGGGAGGGGGTGCTCTGCTTTATTCTGGGTAAGGTCAGCAAATGTAATTTAGACAGAAGAATGAGCATGGTTAAAGGAAGGAAAAGTGGGAGAGAGTGTTGGAAAAAAAAGTATTCTGGGGGTCAGAGAGATCATTCAATGGGCTGAACACAAATATGTTTACAGAAGACCCAGATTCTATCCCTGGCACTGCATGATCCTTTGAGCAGCATTAGGAAGTGACCCCTGAGCTGGGAGTAAGCACCTCTCTAGGTGTTGCCCCAAATCCCTCTCCATGCTCCTCTCCCCACTCCCCCCAAATGCATTTTGGTTGGCAGAAATAGAAATAGCCTCTGCCAAGATCTTGAGGACAAAAACCAAAATGAGTCAAACTGAGTTTTGAGAAAGAGACAGATCATGTAGCCCAATGTTTCTCAGGAGTGTCCATATGGCCATCTTTTGCCTCCAGGATATTCTGTGGAGGCCTCAGGTGAAAATTACATAAATAGAGGGTAGGAGTGGCACAGCATGAAACTAGGGGCCAAATCCAAAGGACAAGGGGCTGGGGTGGAGCACAAGAAGGAAGTGAGATCAGAAAATGGCCACAGTGAGACAAAGGTTGAGAAACACTGATATAGACCATTACAAACATTCCACAAATTTCCTAAGAGCCCTTGGAAACTCATTGGAGGTACTAAGTAGGAATGACATATTTGATCTACTAAGAAGATTACTTGGACTGCTGTATAAAAATATGAAAAAGAGGAGGCATGGAGAATGTGGGAGAACAGGGTGGAAGGAGCCACGGGAATCCTGGCAAGCTAGGAGTGGCTTTGAGAAAAAAGCTGACATAGAGAGAAGTGGATAACTTTGAGATTTATTTTGGTGGCACAATAGTTTTGAGTTTAGAAGAAGTGCACCTTGCGTGGCATTAAGTTCACAGGTATGAAAGGGCTTTTGTCAAATGTAAATTGCTACACAAAGATAATGATTATCATAGAAGAAACCATGACCTAGACAGACTAACTGCTCAAGGTCACACAACAGATGAATGGATTGAAGGAAGTTGGTTTAAGTTCTCTTCACTGTCTTTCCCTGGCGTTGGACCTCAGAAGAAAGAAACAAAGGCTAGCGACCAGGTTTAATTACCTTGTCAAATGGATATTTGGGCATATAAGTTGACAGTATTAAGGCTGTCCCTGGCGAAGGAATGACTAGTGACTGGAACCCAAACTCTTTGAAGCAAGGCTCTTTGGAGACGTTATGTCAGCTACACCTCTTTGTGGGAAATAGAGATGCTCTGTGTGTGAAATGCTCTGTCCTGAGAGGAGATGTAGAGATGCTTTTCTGGCTCCGGGTGACAGGTATGTGTGTTCAGTGATGCAACACAGGACCTGGGGAACTGCTATCAAGGTCCCAGAATTTTCTACTTCACTTGAATCTTCTTGCCTTTAATCTCAAAATAACTTAGCAAAACCCCCAACTGGATAAGGACTCTGATTTATGTGACAGAGTTTGAGAGTTTCCTCTCTGGGTTTGTTAAGTTCTAGCACCTGTAACCCACATTAATAGCCCCTGTGTAACGCAGGTGTAAGGTCCAGAGATAAAGGGAGAATATATTGGATTTGACTGAAATCCTCCCTAGTGATCTAACTCTGATATTTATTTGACATATTAGATATATATGTTCTTTAAAATTTTTTTTATACTCATGCAATTTAAGAGGCGATATATCTGGTTCTGTTGTAACTAAAACGGGAAGAAAACAGAATCTTTGAGATGTTTCCTATGATTGCACTAGGATGTACACTAGGCTGTTTGAACCTTTGAGGACTACTCTAAGCACTTATTTTAGAAAGAGCTCTTTGGATGAATAAATGACCACCATTCAATGTCAAGGAATCATTACACTATTAATTCTCTGTCATGAATATCATTCTGCAAACTCCTCATGGCCCTCTTAAGACACAGCATTCCCCCCACTCCATTTCCCCCCCTCAAGCTACACAATTAACTTTCACATATAATTTCTTCTTGAAACTTATAATGGATGATGGAAGAAAATTGTCACTCTAGCTAAAAGGCAGAAAAAATATATTTTTTTGTACTCTGTGTCTTACAAAAAAAACTACATACACTGTAGGCACCAGAAGGAAAAATCAGTACAAATATATCAGACTCCTCAATTTGTACACAAATTTATCCTGAACTGACTGCTGCAAATAAATTACAACAAAGGATCACTTTCTCAGGAGAGGCTTAGCTTAAGGTCATTGGAAGATTTGTGCAACAGAAAAGGGTAAACAAGTCTTTTTTGGGGAAAAAAAGCCTTTATACTTCCTCTTCTTCCCCAAACAAGCACCCAAACGAATCCCTTGCATTTACCTTCAGCAAGAGGGTCCAGGGTGTGTATCATGAGCTGGAAGATGCTATTCCTCATGAGGCTGTTATGAAGGGAGGCAGAACTTCCACCTCGCTGGAGACGAGGCTTAGCCTGAGCAGAGAGACCAGACAATGAGACTGTTAGTTCTTAGAAATAAAAGAGTGAACCCCATCAAATGTGGTGGCCCCCATTTCTAATTTTATGACCACAATATTGAACCAGAGATTTTCCTAATACATTTCAAACCTTCCCCCACCAATGGTTACCTCACATCCTTCCCTACTAAAGAGATTTCTACCATTTTTGTCTAGAACTCAGTAAATGTGATTCAGTGCTGCATGCTTCACCTTCTGTAGTTTACCCCATTTTCTAAATGAACCTTATGAACTTGATCATGTGATTTCCTTTGGAAAGTTAAGGTGACCTAGCTTTCTACGAAAAAAAGGATGTCCAATTCACATTCACGAACAATGGAGGATAGACGAACTGATCTCAGGTTTGCTTCTCTCAGAAACTGATATGAACCAGTACATGGTATCTATATTGTTGGGGTTGTGTGCTCTGCCAAGCACAAATTTTGAGTATGTATCCATAGCTGATCTATATCTATAGCTATATTAATATTAGCACATGCTAGTACATGAGCTTATATAAGAGATAAGACATTCTACTTTGTACAAGTAGAAATTTTTAAAAGAGAAACGATAGAAGATCTGGTATGTTCTCTTCCCAAAGGAGCACCAGGTACATCTCCTGGGGTACTTCATCTGTAGCTGTTAACCCTAGTTTTAATCTATGAAATTCTCCTAGGATCTGTGTTGAGTGAGCCTTAAAGAGAAGAACTGCCTAATATAAATCCACCGAGATTCTTCTCAACTTCATAAGAGGTTCCTTTTACATAAACTCTTGCTGTGGTGATCCTTTGGCAAAATAAATGAAGCTGATAGGTAATGAAATTTGAAAGATGAGGTTACCAACAAACCTTTATCTTCAAAAGCAAAGAATTAGAAAAAAAGAAGAAATTTCAAGTTTTCTGGATATTGTCTTATTTTCTTTTAAGTCCATGGTAAGAAGTAGCTCTTTTTTTGGTTGATTTTGTGGTGGCTAACCCCGGGGAAAAGACTCCAGAGGTAGGCAAACTATAGATAAGCAAATTTAAGGATGGAATAAGGGTAATATAATGTAAATTTTCTGTGTAACTTTTGATCTAAAATCTCAACATGAAGTATTTTCTGACAGGTAAAGTCTTCCAATCCTTTTCATTTCAGGGGTTTCTAAGCATTCCATCACACTTTGGACATGCAAACAAACTTCTTAAGAAAATTTCCATGATAAAGTTCATTTGGAAAATCTACATCTCAATATCAGCACACATTTCAAATTTTAAGATATGCATGAGGCCACTAAGTTTAACACTAAAGAAGTCTGGTCTTCGACATTATTTTCAAAATATTGCTCATACATGCCTTATTTTGTAAAGTATGTATTAACAATCACATTACATACATTAAGAGATGATTATGAAATCTATAGGAAACAAAGTGGGGGTGAAATATTAGTATGAGATGCAGGGAGGAATCAAAATTTCCTAGCCTTGTTTTATTGTTATTGATATTCTATTGAAAATCTTATTAGAAATCCTATAGGATTTGCAAAAAAGCTTTGAGGGGATTACTGGTATCTCAATGGAAAATGAAATCATATGGTCCTCAAAGGAGAAGTCTGGGTCTGTATCCCTAGCCTAGGGCCAGATCTGGCATGGCCTATGGGTTCTTCATGAGTGTTATTTGAACTCTAAAAACTATAGAAGAAAGGATGGGTTACTATGCATTTTCATTACACCAGTTCTTTAAGTTTACAAATTTGTATTTGTAACACTTTAAAGGCATCATGTTATTTAATTCAGATGGTAAGGTCCAATATACTTTAGGTGCAATATTGAGAGAACTGAGTAGAGTTCAGTGCAATCATTGATGGTTAAACACACAAATTCTCCTTGCCATGCTGCACAATATTGTGATGTGTTAATTGGAAAGGAAGTAGAAAAACGTATTTGTTGTTAATCATTTGTAATGACCACGGATACAACTTCTTTATTCTGGAAACTAAAAGAACTCTGCTAAAGATATCATTAGCAAATAATAATTATTATTCCTACAGAAAAATTTATAGCATTCTTTGGGTGATATATATACATACATATTGTATATTTAGGTATCATGCAGCATTTCTTTTGATATGATCCAAAAGAAACTTCAAACCAAAAAGCAGGCACATGCAGATATAAAAACCATAGATATCAAGTAGTATGTATGACACTGTTCTCAAATATCACCTTAACATCCCTTGGAATGCAATTTGAAAATATCTCATTCTTTAAATTCCTGTAAAAGTTCATGACAATGAAAGAGAGAAGTCAAAAGATTTGAAACCTAGTCCAAAAATATTTTTTTTGTGAATGTAAGAATTCAGTTGACACTATTTATAGTACAGAGCACCCACACATGTCAGCAGATTAAACTGTTTAAGTATTCCAAGGGTGATGATGATTTGTCGAGCATAAGTACCCTCATCCTCCCAACCCCTGCAGACCCCTCCCGACATTCTCCACAGACACATCAACAGATACAGACTGGGACACTCCTTCCTACCGGTAGAGCCTGTTCATCCTTGTCCCTGGCTGTTGATGGCTGCAGAAGAGAAAAAGGCAAAAACAAAAGACAAAGAAACAAATAAATGATAAATTCCATAAAGGTTTTACATTTAATAACAAGAATCGGTATAGGGAAAGATTTGGCTCTTTCTACTCATGGGAAGAAAGAAGTCAACACAGAGAGTAAAGGGTGTATACTTTAGCCAATATACAATGACCTATTTAAGCAGAAAGCTCAAAGTCAAGTGGTTAACCAAAATGTCCAGAAACAGAGAGGAATTAAATCTATTATACCCAGCAATGAAATTGTTCATTAAAATAAATAAGATTAATACACAGTATTGACACGGAAAGATATCAAAGTGGAAACTTTATTTACCTGCCTACTTAAAAAAGAAAATAAACTAATAATACAGTGTTTCTGAACTAGGAGACTTATAACCCTCTTTGGGCCTCCAGGATATACCAAGAGAGCTACTGCAAAATTATGTACATAGGGGCCCATAGCAAGAGACTAGGCAGCTAACTGGTTGAATGGGAGTACTGGAGGGGCTCACAGGAAGGAAACAATGTCAGAAAGAGGTCATAAGTAAGATATGATTGGGAAAAAAATTTCGCAAGAATTTCAGTTATTAGTGGTTATTAAAAGGGAATGGGATTATAAAAACGTGTCATTTTCTATGTATTCTGAAGGGGAACAATGTTAAACATCCCAAATATTATGAATACACTGAAGGGAAGAAGTTATATTCACTGAACTAAAGACTAAGATCTTCATGAATGGAATTCAGATCATCTACCTTCTTTTTTCCTCCACTATTACATATAGTTTACTTCCACATGTAATGTAAATTTTAAGAAGATCAAATATAATACTTAATGAACTTGAGAGGAAATATTTTATAGATTTAATTAAATGCAACGGTATTTATTTTTACAGGTATCTTTGGATTTTGGAGTTAATATCAACATATGTATATATAATATTTTTGGCGGAGCTGGTTGTTGTTTCATACATCTTTCAGACTTTTGAAGAGTTTGTTATGTCTCAAGCACACAGAGAAGCGTCCTGGGTTGGTGGTAATTTATGCACAATCCATGGACATAACTAAGTCTGCTATCACCCCTGGTTTGGGATGTTCACTTAGTGATGTGTCTGAAGCCATGAATAAGAAAACATCCCCGCTTCCTTAATTCCCAGAGCATGCTAGGGAACTGGAGTAGAGCTGAAATTGTCCTTTCATTTCCCTTTTTTCTCTGAAAGGCACTGTATGATCCCGTTTCTCTCGGGCAGGTCCTTTCATTTTCTCTTTTTCCACATCAGACAGTTCAACAAATGGCTTCACATTCTACAGAACAATCCCCCAGGGAAATTATCCAGTGCAGCCAGTCAGCCTTTGGACATACATCGAGATTAACTCTCAGAGCACGCCTTTTCAGTTAGCAAATTTATACCTTGTGGCTAAATGTGAGACAGATAATTAGGAGTTGGGATTGCTCTCACAAGAGATGCCAGGGAACATGAAGGAACAGAATAAAACGGAGGGAAGAAAAGGGTGGTCTTTATAAAAACAAAATATCACCAGCACAGGATTTAAAAAAATTACATTTAAAGAAAATGATTGCAGGAGGGATAAAATATCCAAACTTTTCTTTTGGTCTGAAAGAATGGGAAAAGAAGTATAGCTAGCCTGAGTGATCATTTCCAACTATCACTGTCATAGTGGTCCATTCTCTATCCTAACGATCACTCTGGACAAGAATTGAGTAAAGGGTATATATATATTCATAAAATATAGGTAAAGGGATATACATATATTCGTGATAACCGTTCAGTGCCTGTACTGTAAAACATAATGCTCAAAAGTGAGAGCAAGAGAGAGCAAGAGAAAGTGAGTGAGAGAGAGAGAGAGAGAAAGAGAGAGAAGAAAAGTGCCTGTCATAGAGGTAGATGGGGTGAGTGGAAGGAGTGAAACTGGGGACATTGATGGTGGAAAATGCACACTAGTGAAGGGACAGGTGTTGGAACATTGTATGAAAAAAAAAAAAACCAAATAATGAGCAACTTCGTAACTCTGTATCCCAAGATGATTTAATTTTTTAGAAAAGTATCATTTACTTTTTCTTTCTCAAGTGATGAGCATCATAAAACACAGTCAATGGAAAAAATTGACTGGTACGTGAATTGTACAAAGGAAAACCAAGTGCAGAAGACAGCCTGAAATCCTTTACAAGTTTCTTGCTGTTTAATGTCAGCAGAAGTTGACATCATTAGTTTCCTTTCAAGTGCAATTTGCAGATATGAATATACATTAGGTTATAATGTGTAAATTTAGGTATACACACAAATGCAGCTGAGGCCATTTAAATACCCTTGCATTTTCATTTTATGTAGTTCTGTTGCAAAAAAGAGGAGAAATGTGATCTATGGTGGCAATTGCTCATTTTCAGGAGCTTATCCACATCTACTGATCATTCTTGAGGCTCACCTGACTTAGCATCGTTCTAATTGCATCTTGAAACAGCCTCATAGTTCTGCAATGTGACACTGATTATCTTTGAAATTCAACTTTAAAGAGCTTTTAATCATATTGGAATAACTAGTGAAGGTGGCAAAGAAACGATGCTGATACACTATGTTTGTAGACCTGCAGTGTTTCCAACTACTGAATTATTTAGCTAACTAATTGGATTTGGTTGACTATGATGTTGTGAATTTATTTTTAGGCCACTGAACATCTGGCAAGTTTATTATGGACCATCAGATGCTATAGATGACAACTTAACTTCTTCAAAAGAAGACCAATGTGACTTTAAATATAAATACTGGCTTTCTTATAATGCACTTTGCCTTTTTAGGGGTGCTTCTTGGGGGGTCCCCAATAGGGATCTTGGAAGTCTCCTTCTGGCAATTCTAAACCAGCTAGGTCAGCAGTTCCATGAAAGGACCTGAGGATGCAGTGCTGCTCAGGCACTGCAGTGCTGGTGATTACCTGGGTCACCCTGGTGTTACACCAGGGTCTTCAGGGATGTGTCTGGCAATGCTAGGGGACTATGTGGTTCTAGGGATTGGGCCAGGGTGGGCTGCATGCAAGTTCTGCACCTTAACTCCTGTGCTGTGCTGTCTCTCCAGCCCCTATGAAAAATTTTATATCTTTGATTTTATTATTATTTTTTATTTATTTGTTTTTTGCTTTTTGGGTCACACCCGGCAATGCAAGGGGTTACTCCTGGCGGTGCTTGGGGAAGCATATGGGATGCTGGGAATTGAACCCAGGTCAGCCGCGTGCAAGTCAAACGCCCTACCCACTGTGCTATCACTCCAGCCCCAGTATATATCTTTGATTTTAAATGCAATAAATATATTCTTGAGTTATACTACTTTAAAGCCTCAATTCCTGGGGTGGAGGTTGGCGGCAGGGGGTGGTGGGGGAGGTTGCATGGAGGTGAGCTCAAAGGCTATGTCAGCTCTAAGTTTGTTAAGCAAATTCATTGTCCACACAGAAATTCTTTAGAAATATTTAAAAGAATCCGTAGTATGCATTCCAAGGGGTCTCAGGTTGGGGCTTTAATGTGCTGATGCAGGCCACCTCTTCATTTATGATAGCAGGGCTCAGTGAGAGCAATGCATCTTCAATTTAAAGACAAGTAATCTGTAACTCAGCCCTTTATTTAATTTAAACAGGTTACCTCCCTAATTGCTTCACGGAAGTGAGTTATAGAGCAACTGGAATGATGCCATTAATTCTCCCTGGTGGAAATCTCAATTTTATATGGAAATTTCACTACCTCTTTTGTGCACTCTCCGCTAGCTTCCCTCTTGCCCACAATTATAAAACATGATCCACTTAGAAAGCATTTAAATTTTTTGAACTAAACCTGCCAATATCCAGGACTTATTCCTGGCTCTGTGCTCAGGGATCACTCAGGACAGTGCTCAGGGGACCATATGTGGTACCAGGAATTGAACCCAGGTCAGATGCATGTAAAGTAAACAGCTTACCCACTATACTATTTCTTTGGGTCTAGAAAGCATTTTTAACACTATAGCCATTCATTAATTTTAAATTTCTCTTCCTTTGATACTTGTAATCTGTCACTGTCACTGTCCTCCCGTTGTTCATCGATTTGCTCGAGCGGGCCCAGTAACGTCTCCATTGGAGACTTTGTTGTTACTGTGTTTGGCATATCAGTTATGTCACGGGTAGCTTGCCAGGCTCTGCCGTGCAGGCGAGATACTCTCGGTAGCTTGCCGGGCTCTCCAAGAGGGGAGGAAGAATCGAACTCGGGTTGGCCATGTTGGCTACGTGCAAGGCAAACGCCCTACCGCTGTGCTATTACTCTAGCCCACTTGTAATCTATTGGTTGAAAATTACTTCCTTGGTTATGAAGATCCTCTCTCCCTCCCTCCCTTCCTTCTCTTCTCTATTGAGAGTGGAAGTATACTACCAGTGAGCTACATTCCTAGCCTCAGTTTTGATTTGACTTTCTACAGAGACTTTCCCTATATGAAAACCCCAAATTATATCTCACATACAAGAACGTTAGACATAATTAGAACAAAATGTATAATTTGGCTTAATCATGTCCTTAGTGCCCCTAACTCTCTGGTTGTTTCCTATGTGCCAATCATGAATGAGTCTCTGTGAAGATTTGTGTGAAAAATAAAGATGGCTTTTCTGGACATGGCTTGACATCAGATACAGAAAGACAGTTTGTCACAGTTGTAAAATAATAATCACAAACTTATATCACCACAGCTTTAAAAGTAAAGTAAAGTAAAGGCCCTCCCGTTGATCGTCGATTTGCTCGAGCGGGCCCAGTAACGTCTCCATTGGAGACTTTGTTGTTACTGTGTCTGGCATATCGAATACTCTCGGTAGCTTGCCGGGCTCTCCGAGAGGGGCGGAGGAATCGAACTCGGGTCGGCCATGTTGGCTGCGTGCAATGCAGACACCCTACCCGCTGTAAATGTGCCTAAATTCATTGCCAAGAACCTAGATTCACTATAAGGTCTATAGAAATTAGAGAGTTTAA